TTTGAGACAGCGTCTCCCTGTAGCCCCAGCTGGCCTGGAACTCACTATGTAGACCCGGTTGTCTTTTTGAGACGGCGTCTCCCTGTAGCCCCAGCTGTCCTGGAACTCACTATGTAGACCCGGTTGGCTTCGAACTCTCACAAAGATCCGCCTGCCTCTGCCTCCCAAGTGCTGGGATTAAAGGTGTACACCACCAAGCCTGGCACTTATTTATTATTTTTATTTTATGTGTATGAGTGTATTGCCTGCATGCAGGCAAGTGCACTCATGTTGTGCAATGTCCGCGAAGGACAGAAGAGGCCATCAGATCACCTGGAACTGGAGTTATGGACAGTTGTTAGCTATCATGTGGGTGCTGGGATTCGAACCCAAATCTTCTGCAAGAGCAACCAGTATTCTTAACTGCTAAGCCATCTTTTCAGCCCCATATATTTTTATTTTTAAACATTTCATTAAATGTATTTTGGTTACTGAGTTTTTTGATGTCTCTTTTGTCTTATCCTTGTCCCAGCCTTATTTAGTACAAAAGTATTCTGGGATCCATGACCTAGGCCATGTGTTAATAGATCCAGATTTTAGAGAGTGTTGATCTCTACCTCCTGTTTAACAACCCTGTGGATTGAAGCTGGATCCAGGTGGCAGAGGAGGTCCATCACCCAGAGAGGCTTTGGCCATGACCCTGACTGGAACACTTCATTCTTCCTCTAGCCCATCTTAGCTAGAGGTGGGTCGGTGTCACCTGAGCTTGCAGCAGGATTTCTTCTAGTTCTTTGAGACTGGTTTTCAGTTTATGCCACCTACTACAACCAAGAGGTGTTCCTGGTCTCCCCCAAGAGGTGTTCTTGGTCCCCCCCAAGAAGTGTTCTTGGTCCCCCCCAAGAGGTGTTCCTGGTCCCCTGCAGGTCAGTGTGTATGCCACGGTAGCTGAGGATGCTGTGTTCCTATTCTTTAACCAGATTCCAGTCTGCCAGTGAAGGACTATGCCTGCTTCCAGAAAGGGAGGGTGGAGGACTAGGAGTAAGGCAGGTCCCCCACAAGCAGACAGGTAGGGAAAGGGCCACTGATAAGCAACAAAGATGCCATACTCAGCTTCCTCTTTACCTGAGACAAAGGCCTGGGGGCTTTTTCTCCTGCTGGCACAGTCCCCCTTCTGCTCACTGGTCCAGACTAGTCTAGAAAGTCCAAGGTAAGTTCCAGACATATTTCAGCTTGGAGCTCTGGGCCTATCATCCATTTCTTCTTTGTTTAATTTGATCAATCAAAAATTGGTGGAGGGGGACCTGCCCTGTACTACCAAGAACACTTAAAAGACCCAGGCAGGCCCTCCTAGGGGGCTTTGGAGTTTGCTTTTTAAATTCCCTTTCACTTGTGGGGAGTTTTTCTGTGTGTGAGTTTCTTTGCTTTTACTAGTTTGTTGAGTGCTGTGTCTGATTATTCTGCCTTTTTAATTCTTTAACTGATGTAGAAAACAAACCAGATCAAGATCTCTAGGTAGTAACAGGACAGTGATGTCACACACAAACTCTTAGGATCCTATCCTTCCTACAATACTGCCAAGACGTCAAGCACCCCCGTCTCTGAGAGTCATGCTTCCCAATGGAGAGGGCTCAAAGGCTTGACACTCAACAGCCATGAGGCACCCTCAAGGAGCAGATCTCCCAAGAGGGATTTATCCTCAGAGAAGCCACCAAGGATGTGAGCTGCGGTAGAGGGAGCAGAGAATCCTCAGAGAAGCCCCCTTTGAAGGAATGGAGTATCTATCTCCACCGGCCTTGAATGCTCATGCAATTGCTAGGCTGTCAGAAAAACTTTCCCTCCAGTCAGGGGCAGCCACCAGTTAAAACCAGCTCCTGGTGGTGGTCTGGGTAGGTCTTTTCTCAGCATCTCCCAAGCTCTCTGCATTCCACAGCCAATTCTCCACCCTCTGAACTGCTGGGAACCTCAGTGTGGGCCTTGTTCCAGTCCACATCATCAGGGTGGGCCACAGGGCTGGGTCTTGCCAGAGCCCCTAAGCAGCTTGTTCTCAGTGGCCATGTCAAAAGAGCCCACATGCGGACTAGAGTTGAGACAGGCTTTGAGAGGGGGATCTGAGTAGTATGACCCCAGTCATACTTGGGGTCTTGGCACCTTGAAGGCAGCATGGGCCCTCCCACCCTGCTGCAAAGAGTCCTGTTCTGAACCTCCCCATGCTTGCTGGGCCTCTGGCTTGCTGCAGACGGGCTGAAATTTGGATACTTTGTAGCTGGTGTGCACAGACCAGGGGCGCCAGCGGAAGCAGGTGGGGGGTCTCCAGGAGGAGTTGGCGGAAGAAGACATGGGTTGGGGAGGCGCCTCTCTTGGGCACGTGGGCGCTGGCGTCCAAGAAGCAGGCCGAGCGGCGGCTGAGGGCCTGTGCAAGGAGTCTGCTGGTCACCAGTCTTGGCCTCCACACCAACAGCGGTCTCCAAAGGTACTGGGCAGCATGTGGCAGGTCCTCTCCATCCATCCTAGGCAGGGACCCAGTGGGAGCCCAGTCCTTCCTCAGTTAAGGGTCTCATCAGGCCCAGACCCAACCCCGTGCTTCCGACATTGTCCGGAGCCAGTGGGATGTTACTGCAGGAAACCTGGTCCAGAGAGGGCTCTCCTCCTCCCTTTGGGTGGAAACCCGGTACCCTTTCCACGAAGAGTGAGTGAGGCCACGGTGTAAAGTGAGGCCATGGCTCAGCTGGCCATGCTTAGGGCCTGGGAGGCCTCTTCTTGGCCTCACTTCCAGAGTGTATTCCACAGAAATGGGCTCTGTCGTGATTAGGCTCCATCCCTGAAAATCCATCCTGAACATGCTGCCCAAGCGCCCTAAGGTGGCGCCGCTTCAGGCAGTTGTGATTTCTCCCATGGCAGGATGCCCCAGGACTCAGCATTTTGTACAGGAAACATGTGCCACCACCCATGCTGATTGTCAGAAGCCGTGTCCCCACTGTGCAAAAGGGCAGTTGCTTATAGTTAGGTGGATGCCAGGGCCTTAGGTTAACCTCCAAAAGCCACACAAGGTTGAAAGGAAATGGGATCATAGCTTGTATCAGATCCTGGAGGAGACATGAGAGGGTCAGGCCAGGGCCCAGGGCTAAGTCTCAGTCAGGTGAGATGACTGTTTGCAGACACTGCCCAACTGGGTGGTCTGTGCACAGACAATTTGGGAAGATTAGAGGGAATATGCATGAGACCTCCCTTCCCTCTTCACAGGTGAGTTATCCTCCCTCACCAGTGTCTGAGGCCCAGGGAATTAGTCTGAGGACCCATGATAGAGGGACATGGTTGGTGTTGGTGTTGTCCTGACCATTCTGTGTTGGCAGAGTCACTCTTGTGGGATGCAGAACTTCCTGAGGCTGCTGAGGGAGCATGGGCACACCTATCCTCTGCCAGCCGAGCTGGTGGCCTTGGCAGGCAGGCTGTGTCAACACCTCCAGGATGATCTTGTGCAAGTGCTGCCTTTGGTGGCAGCCATTCTGCATAGCCAGCACCGTCAGCACCTGCTGGACAATGCTAATGTGGCCCTGGTGTGTGCCCGGGTCCTGGTCCAGCAGGAGCAGCTGCATGCAGCGCTCCGGATTCTGGAGGTAGGACTGGGTTTGGGACTTTGGGTGTAGACAGAAGTCTCTACTGTCTCCAATGTGAATAAGTTTGTCAGGGCAGCCCACTCTCACTTGACCAAGTGATTACTAGCTTGGTAATCAAGCCAATTACTGTTTATTAAATCTGTATTGAGTGGTGGTCCTGTGCTAGGCGCTGTGCCAGCAGATAGGCAAATATGTGGATATGATGTGATCCTCCTTTGGGGTAGGGGGCGACATCCCGTGGGGGAACATACAGATTCAAATTTCCATCCTGAGTGGGTCTTTGTACTCGTGTGGTAACATGTTTGACCTCAGCATGTTTAGCATCAAAATCTGGCCTGAAGCCGGACGTAGTGGTGCACATCTACAAACTCAGCACTCAGGAGGTTGAGGAAAGACAGTTGTGGGTTAAGGCAAGTCTGTGTCAAAACCACAACAAAAATACTATCCAGGTTGGGTGTGATGGTTCATGTCTTTTTTTTTTGGTCTTTGAGACAGGGTCTCCCTGTAGCCCCAGCTGTCCTAGAATTCAATATATAGACCAGGCTGGCCTTGAGCTCACAAAGATCCTCCTGCCTCTGCCTCCCGAGTGCTGGGATCAAAGGCCTGTGCCACCATGCCCGGCTTGGTACATGTCTTTAATCCTAGAACCAGGGAGGCAGAGACACATGGATCTCTGTTAGATGAAGACCAGACTCGTCTACATAGTGAGTTCTAGGCCATCTGGGGCTACAGGGAGACCCTGTCTCCAAAAAAAGTGACAGTTGGCGACGCTGGTGATGAGAAGCCCTAGGAGAAGGATTAGAAGCTCAGGACAGCGCACAGATGTGTCTGATGACCTGATACTATGGTAGCTGAGACCAGAGGGGCAGATGGGGCTTCCATACCAGGAAGTGGGTGGAGACCTGGCTTATGAAGGGTGTTCTTGTCCAGAGCCAGGTAAGCAGAGCAAGCCAGAGCAGTCACCAGGCCTTGCTCTCCTTACTGCCTGGTTCAGTTGAAGGGGCTATGGTCAGGTCTCTGGTCTCTTCATGAGTGACATGAGGTATCTACCATGGCTTGTGAGGTGGCTGGCTGACCCAGGTCACACCTCAGGGCCTGTTGGGGATTTGGAGGGCCTGTACTGTTTGGTGGACATCAGTACTTAGTGGATTTAAGGCTTCAGATCCAGATGACTGCCTTTGCCACAGGCTTCACTGCCTTTTCAGAGGCTGGATTGGTGTGGGTGGCAGACAGGTTCCTACACACTGCGGTGTGGAAGAGAGTGACTGAGTTTCAGCTGGCTTTTTGCACAGGGGTGCCAGGTGCCAGGGGGCAGCCCAGAGCTGGTGAAACTCTGGAATGATGTCCACTACCGCCTGACCATGAGGAAGATGGGTGTGGCCATGCTGAGCCCCGTGCAGAAGTTCCGATGCAGGAAAAGGTATCTGTTCTTGTCTGTGCTGGCTCCATGGGCTTCCCAGGGCTGTATTTGTGCCGTCCAAACCCCAAGGGAGCTGTGGAAACAGGGACAGGAAACCACACATTAGCAGTGTCTGTCATAATGTAACGAACACCTTGACCTTGAGTAGTGTCTGTCACACCCTCATGTGCCCATCACTGATCTCCAACTCCACCTGACACTTCAGCGAGGTGGCTGAAGGTAGAGAGCTGCATGCATGTCGGCATCCTGAGTGTGTCTACCTCCCATCAGCACCTGAGTCTGGTGAGCCAAGGAGCTTGTGGATGGGGACAGTGAATGTGGAGGACAAGTGGGTGCTGCTCAGCACGTGTGTTTCTGGTCATCTAATCCTCATGTTGGAATCCAGGCTGGTCCCTGGGGGATGCAGGATGAGAAGGTTTTAGTACTGGAGAGAGTCTCATGTGGGTAACTTTACTGTTACCGTTGTCAGAACTTTTGCTCTCAGCATCATCACTTATAAATGAGAAAGTTGGTGGAGAAAGGTTGAGTTTCTTGTCTGAGGTGTTGCATGGGAGAAGGAAGGCCATCCCTCCCTACACAATTAAGACCATGGAGCTTTTGTTCTTTGTCTTAAGAGTCTCTCAGAAGAGGAGTGTTGCATGCAGGCCTCACTTTGACCCACCAAGTCATGTAGGGCTCCTGAGGCTCAGGGGCACAGTCACTGCAGTAGGAAGAGATGTGCATTCCTTTTTTAGACCAGTGTGATTTTCTTGCATAGTCTACCAGATAATGAAGTGGTGTGGGTCAGCCCCTCAGAAGCCCAGCAGGTAATCACCCTTGAGACATAGCACCCTTGGTCATAGCACCTCAGAGGCTTATGTCCAGCACAGTGCTGCTCAGCCTTCAGCAGCCCTGGTGTGGTGTCTTGTCAGGGTATCAGGATATTTGTGAGGTGTTTCCTGGATGCTACGTGTTGGATATAGAACAGGCCCTGGTTTCCTGAAGCTGTCCAAGGGATGAGTGCAGAGGACCCTAGACAAGGACTAAAGTGGATCCCTTCATGGGGGGTATGTGGACAATGAGATGACTGAGAGAGACTATGTAGGTATTGGCTGTGGGGAGAGCTACTTTTGAGCAGATGGTTAGTGCAGGTCTGTCTAAGCCTTGGATGAAATTCCTAGGCAGTGGGGAAACCACATGGGTAGACTTACCAGACAGAGAGATGGCAAGGTTGGAAGCCAGGGATTAAGAGGTGCTTGGTGCCCTGGAGCAGATAGAAGATATTGGAAAAATGTGTTTCCAACCCTTCACAAATATAGGTCAGTCCTTAACCTGTGGCCATAGTAAAAGGGTGGCTGTGTTGGCTTCCTTAGCTGTCGTCTCCTAGGCTGATGTGTTTGGACTAGGGGAGAGTCTGGAGTCTCAGGTGGGTTCCTTTTGGAATGTGTTAGATAAGATACTCTTGAGATGTGACAGTATATGGAGGGTCAGGGGCGGCAGTCCTGCGTATTGTCTGAGAAGTTCTGTGGTAAGGGATTGAGTCAGGGGCAGCTAGAGGGGAAGGGGAGTCAGGAGGGCTTATATGTAAGGTAGGAGATTTACAGGTTTAGTAGTTCATGGGGATGACTGGAGAGTGTGGCTGGCCAGCAGGTGACATCTTAGAGAAATGGGAATCAGGTCAGTTGAGGTGCCTGGGATGTGAGATGGACTGGAGGATGCTCCTCAGAACTCGCTCTAGGCATGGAATAAGCCCTGGGGAAGCTTATGCAGAGCAGTACAGGAGGGGTGAACCTGGGGAGACCATGGAGGCAACTACAGGGGTGGCCATGGGGGTGACCATGGGACTGAGGTGTCCCAGTACCCTCAGGTGCTCCCAATGAGATACCTCATTGATTTCTGTGGACACCGTACGCTGGGAGTGTGTGCTTCTGTGGGAGAGGCTGTGGTCTTACAAGTGTAATGGAGGGGCATCCGTAGGAGAAGTCTGTGAGCTACAGGGACATGGACCTCACCTTCTGAGTGGCAGGCCTTGAGCAGGGAGCTAATGGGGTCCTACTCTATAACCTCTCATCACCTAGGAATCCACCACCTCCCGCCCTCTGCCCCGAGGGCCCCAAGAACCGGAACTTCTCCCCGGAGGTTCGGCGTCAATTGCAGGACTTTGCCTCGGGCGTGTGTGCTAACCCTAAGAAGGACCAGCGGGTAAGAAGGGCATCCCACTCCACGTAGCTTTCCTATGCAGGTATTGTCACAGGCATCACATCTCCCCTCAGCTGATTCTTCCCATCTTCCCCCAGGCAGCTCCCCTTCCCTCCTCCCAGGCAGGTCCTCCTTCCCTTAAGTGGCTCCCCCTCCACCAGGTAGCTCCTCTACCTTTCCCCTCTCCTTCTAGGAGGCTCCTCCTCCCCTCAGTGGGCTCCTCTGGATCCCCTCTATGGTCTATCTCCCAAGGTACTGGTGTTCTCCACCTTGCCTTGAACTCTACCTTGCCTTCCAGGGTTTGACTTTCTCCCATAAGACTGCCCACTTCTCACCCTGGTCAATTTGTAGCTATCACTAGTCCTCTGCTCTGTGATCCCAAGCTTGGGGTTACTGTGGGCAAGGGAAGGCCCTCTGGTTGGGGGTTGGGAGCAGTATAGGCCCTGATCCAGAGGCTCAGGATAGTCTCAGTTTGGCCCTTTCCTCAGCTTAGGGTACTGGCAGCTCAGGGCTTCATCTAGTCCAGCATGGAGTTGGCTCAGCTCAAGATGCAGGACCTGTGTGTTACTCTCTGCTAAAGCACATGATCATAAGACAATGCTTTTTCCAGTGCACCTGTTGGTAGTCCACTGTCTCTGCTGTCCTTGAAAGGGTCAGACTGGGCTCTGTCCCCATTCCTTGGTGAACAAGAACATCCTTGTAATTCAGGGTTGGATATCTTGTTTGGGGCAGGAGAAACTGGCTTTGGAGACTGGATTGACCCTTGAGCAGGTGTACAACTGGTTTGCCAATTACCGGCATCGTCAGAGAACCCTTCTCCAGCAGGCTGTGTCAAGAGCCTCTAGAGCAAAGAAGAGCACTGACCCCCCACAGCCCTCAGGAAACCATTACGGGTTTGTGGCTATGTCTCCTCAGTGGTCAGGTGAGTCACCCAAGGGCTTCACTGGGGGGGGGGGGCTGGTTTCTGACAGAATCTGGCTCAGGATTGACCCTGTTGGCTCAGGATTGACTATGTTGGTCTGGAGATGGGGTATCACATGATTGGAAGGAGAGGGTAATGAGTAGATTTAGGAAGTGAACCAAAGCTCCACTATCATAATTAGGAACCATCAGTTTTGACTGAAGTCAGACCAAGGGTCAAGAATATCATGATGATCAGAGACTATTTCTAACCAGTGGAGCTGCTTTCCCCTGGGTAGGACGCTAGGACCTGAAGCTTCACACAGCCTTCTCTCTCTCTGTGTCTCTGTCTCTCTCTCTCTCTCTCTCTCTCTCTCTCTCTTGTCTGTTTTCAGCACCATGTGAAGGAAGTGGACTTCCACAGTCCTCACAGACCACCCAAGGATCTTGGAGGCCACTGGCCCTGGCTGTGAGCTTTCCTGGAGCCAAGACAGCCTCCCAGTCACTGCTTGCTAGGTACGGTCATTCAGGAGGAGGGGACCTTCTTACCTGTTCCATCCCCTTCCCTTTTGGGTAGAGCTAAATCCTAACCCTAACCCTGGTAGTTGTGCCAGGCCCTGACTCTGGGGGTTGTTTATTTCTATGTTTTAACACTGTTTAGAAATTTCACGGAGTTAGCAGCAGCCCTGATGTGCTGCACTATCTGAGGCTCTCCTTGCTCTCCGTTCCCTGTGATGAGGCCCAAGCCTGCTGCCTGCTGCCCAATGCTGGCAGATCATGGGGCCAGGGGCCAGGCTAGCTGCCGCCCAGGTGTGTGACCTTAGGCAGGTAGGCAGGTTCATGTAACGTCTCACCTACAAAATGAGGATGTGATAGGATCTGCCATGCAGGCTGTGGCTGAGGTTGTTGGTGTTAAACAAAAGTCTAGATCACACCTGTTTGAGGCCTGTTAGCACTTGTGGAATATTTATTAAGCTATTGTCAGCTTCTGTATGATGCTCTTTTAACCAGTTTTTGCTCCTTTAAGATTACCCAGCATCTATCCACTTGATAGTATGGTCTTGCTAATCATTTTCTGTTTTCTGGTTCTAAGTAGCAGACTGTATTAAGTGAGTGTGAGCACCACGGAGCCCAGCCCTTGTAGCCTCAGGGCAGGGCAGGCAGGGTGTTTAGTGATGAGTCAGCAGCTTAACTCCACATGCCTGATCTTGGCTGGAGTTCTTTCTCAAGCCCCTCTGGTCCGGGCTGAGGGAGCCTCTACCCACCGAGGCACACTGTTGGCCATGTCTTCCAGGTCACTGCAGGGAGGTAAGATATACCAGGACAGGCCTGGTCACCATGCTGCCAACCTTACTTCTGTCTGTCCCGGCCCTGGCTTCTACCCTCTGGTGGCTAGCAGCAGCGTGTTGGATTCCCCTCTGTCTGCTGAGTCCTGGCTGATGCCCCTCTCACTGCCCTCCTCCAAGGAAATTTGCCTCAACACTGGACAGTCAGGCCGTGGACCTGGACTTGTCTCTGGATTACATCCTGCAGACACCACTGTGATGGTGACTGTTGCTGCCCTTGGTGATTCCAACCCTGCAGGTGGGTCCACATTGTCCAGAATGAACTCTTGCTGCAGCCACTACCACTACTTGGGTCCTGTGTGGGGGCAGAAAGTGTGGGTGGGGCCAGGATTTTCTCCTTGAATGTGTAATGTTTGATGAAACCTGGAACTACTGCAGTCAGAACAGACTCCTTTACAAATATCCCAGATTATTTCTCATTTACTGTATTATTAGAAAAAATGCACATGAATGAAAAAGAAGACAGGAAAGAGTTAAAATGGAGTACAGTGTCTGAACCCTGTGTCTCCTTCCCCTGCTGTCCTACTTACCTGTAAGGACCTATGCAGCTGGCCTGTGTTCACCACTGTGCACACCTGGCTGGCTGGCCTGTGTTCACCACTGTGCACACCTGGCTGGCTGGCCTGTGTTCACCACTGTGCACTCCCAGCTAGCTGGCCTGCAAGCTTCTGGGAACTCTCCTGTCTCCACCTCTCATCTCATCACAGGTGTACTGGGATTACACATACATGCTATTGATCAGGTCCTCATACCGGCATGTCAAGCCCTTTACCTACTGAGTCATCTCCTTAGCCCCAGCTCTACATTTTTGTGTAATTCCCTGTGAGACACTTCATGCCATGAGCCTGCCCTTGCTTCTTGACCTTCAAAACTGTGGATAGTGGTTGGGTGTCTCTTTTCACTTCTCCTTCTCTTGGAGAGAGAAGACAGAACCTATTTTTCCATTATGTGTGACTCAAGCTATTCATGCTGGCACTTCCAATTCATCCCCTGTATTAAGAGCAGAGTCCCTCAAGTTGTTTATGACCGAGGAGGCAGCAGAAGCAGAGCTGGAACCAAGTGTGAAGTCGCAAAGGGCCCTTTGACTCCGACAGCCCTCAGCAGCTGGCTACCATGTTAGGTGGGCATTCTGGTGCCCAGGAGAGAGGTCTGTGCAAGCCTTGCCCTAGGCCCCTGGTTTTGGTCTCAGGCCAGGCCTTGTTAGTGCTGGTTTTACTATACCACAGACCCAGAGCAGAATAGCATCTTGCAGTCTTGCTCCTTTTTTCTCCTCTGTGTGTGCCTGCCCAGAAATGAGTAAATTTATTAGCTTGTTTTTAAAAGTGGAGAGTCTTCTAAGATAGTCCCTGACACAGGTAGAGAGAAAGCCAAAGGGCAGGGTGAGGAAGCAAGAGCTCAGCCTCAGGGAAAGCTCAGTGAGTCCTAAAGTGAGAGGTCAAGGTGAAAACTGCAGCAGGCAGGTTGCCAAGCGGGTCTGTGTACCTGCTCCAAGAACCTGATGTACATGGGCAGCTGGACAAGACTGTGGACATATTTGGACTCTGGCATTGGGTATTGTGGAGGCCCGGAGTGGCAAAGCCTAGCTTGGAGTCAGCTGGACTTTGACCTGATCTCTGGAGGCCTGATAGGTCATTGAGGTGGTTCTGTGGGCCCCTTCCTTGGGAGGGAGGCTGAAGCCTGAGGGATGGTGAGCTGGTTTCACACAGCCCCGGCTGCCACTCCTTCCTCTCACTTGTGGTTTGTGGAATTTCTTTATCTGTAGGATTTACTGATACGCACAATGGTAATCCTCAGAGCTTGTACCCAGAGGAGAGTCCAGGCCCAAGCGGTGGGCAGGCAGGAATGACACAGCTTCCGCTGCAGGCTCCGAAATTCATTGTCCCCCACAGGTAAGCCCAAAGAGCCCTAGGCTCAGACGATACCTTCTGCAGGCTATGGAGGCAGGCAGGCTGGGACTTTATAATAGACTCACCACCTCAGATTTTGCAGATCAATTCCTTTCCTTATGAATTTCTGAAAACTTTAACAGTCTTTCTCTCAACAAAGGAACACCTCCAATGTTAGTGCTTACGTAGGCATCCCACACTTTGGGTGTTGTGTAGGGATCATCACTGGCCAGAGGTCTCCCTTGGCCTTACTGACTTCTTCCTGGTATTTGTTCCATAGACAAAGGCTGTGGACAGGGGACTGCAGAGACAGAGGTGTGTGGTATGTGGGGTGATCTGGGGTCCTGTGGTGGAGAGATGATGTCCAAGGTCCTAGGAAAATTTTGAAACAAAGATGGTTAGCATCCAGGGTGATCTCAGGTTTTGTGATTGAGAGAATCCCAAGGCCTCCAGGCTGAGGGATAGGTCCAAGAGACCGCAGGCAGGACAGCTGGGGTTGGTATGTGACAGGGTGGACTGGGGTCCTCTGATGAAGAGGGATTGTATCCTGTTCCAGTGGACACCTCTCCTGACTACACTAGGGGCCATGTTCCCAGGACATGGGGTCTAGTACAGAGGGCCACATGACTGAGGCAGATACCCAGTGAGGACAGAATTATAGGGGAACATTTGAGAAAGAGGAAATAGTTCCTGCTTTATATGCTGTGCTTGCTGAGATGGCTGGATTGTGAGAAAATCTGTACCGCAGATGCGCCCCATCTCTACTTTCTGCTATAGGTGGGGGAGGTGCTCACGGCAGGCATGGCCTCTCCTCATGGCAGTCCTACCCTCCTCTCACCTTCCTGTCCAGTACCTTCTGCCTGTCCTTGTTCTCCCCCGAGGGCCCTGAATCTTTACGTAGACAGGGTCACTGAAGAGTGGGTGGCAGTTACCTGCACTGTGTAGGTGGAGAGACCCCCACTTTTCTCAGTGTGGCTTTCACATGAAGCCATGATAAGGAAGGCCAGGCCAGCACTCTCCTTCCTCACCCACCAGGTCTCTGCCACACCAGAACTAGAGATTTGCTTCTATTGTAAACATTCACAGATTTCATGCTGTGTGACACTATAGAGCAGATATGAATGAACATCTGTTCATCCCAGATAGGGAACCCATGACAGACCGAAGATCATAGTTTGGCCAACCAATGAGTTCATGGGGCTACTTACAGGGGCAGGGTCCACGCAAAGGCAGCACGGAAAGCCCAACTCAAAAAGCTGCATCCCTGAGCTCTCTGTACAACCTTTAGGCAGTTGGTCTCCCTCAGGTACAGCTCAGCTCTGAGTCTACTTCAAGCCCCCAGGGCTGATCACTCCCTGGGCCTTGTTTACTGCCTCTGGAACCTGGGGGAGGGGCTTTGTGAGTCTTGTTTCAACTTTTCCAGACATGAGGTTTATTTAATTCCCTTGCATCCTGGAGGGGATGTTTGAACTCAGAGGAAATTACCTACCAGTTCTGTAGAATTCATTATAAATAGAATCATATATTGTATACTCTGGTTTCTTTTAAGTTTTTTTTTTAAACATGATCGCACTGTGTAGCTCTGACTGGCGTGGAACTCCAGCGCCTTGGCCTCCTGAATGCTATGACTGTAGGCATTGACACCATCCCCAGCTCGGCGCTTGTTTTCTCCCTTCTGGTTTGTGCTCATTGTAATTACTGAGATTCGCCCTGCTGGGACTGAGTTAGCATCCCTACCTCCTTTTATGTCTAAGTCCCAAGCCATGCTACAGAAGGACAGCGGTATGCTCATCTCTCTGCCTGGTAATGGCATCTGGGTGTCAGGGGCTTGTAGCAATCACAGAGAAGGCCACTGTGGCTGCGTCTGCACACATGTGTGGTCTCAGCACTGCCCGTGTTTCCTATGGAGCATTCTAGGAGGTATATTGGGAACCAGAGCATGGCGTCTGTCCAGTTCCTGCTGCCTTTACTGTTCCATCTGACTTGGCCCCAGTGGCCTCTCCCTTCCCTCACATCTCAGGCCCCTCCCTTCTTAGTACAAGAGCTTGCATCTGCTTATCTCCTCCATCTCCATGAGCTTGCTCTGATGCCTTCATCACTTGCTCCCTGTGACCTGCTGAGTGACCCTGTTCATGTTAGCACATATCTTTTCCCCCTGACAGAGCAGTGTAAGTCATCTCATTAATCACCATAGAATCGTTTTGATGTGTAAATGTAGGAGTATGGGTATCATATTACCCGGCGCCCCCTGTTCTGGTGTGTGGTGTTACGTGTCACATTATGGCAATGCTTGGATAAAGACAGCCTGACTCTTAGCATCCATTTTAGCCAAGAGGGCACCCAGATTGTTCTGAGCACCTGCTCCTTCAGATTACCCTCAGAACTGTGCTTTTGAACAGAGACCTTCCTCTCTCTTTTATTGAAACAGTATATACAGGATGAAATAGGGTAGTAAAAGTGGAACTGTATCATCCTCTGACCCTACAGAGTAAATTATCCCTGTTGTTTGCAACAAAAATGGGATAATCTTTGTTGCTTCCAACAAATACCTGCTGTTTGCAGCAGTTGCTTGATTGATATGCAGAACATAGACACATTCCTACATTATTCTGGGTCAAGAGCAAGAATGGGTTATAAGGGATTAAGGCTATATGCCCAGGTCACAAGCAAAGCGCAAGGCTCAAAAAGCTTGTCTATGTTGTAAACAAGCTAAGATAACATTTTTGGTTGCAAGGTTAAGTAAAAAATATCTGTCCTGGGCATGCCTGTACTATAAAAGTCATCCCCATACTGATGTGTCAAGCAGAATTGTACAGGATAGAGCTTATCCTGACACTGTCCCCATTCCAGCCCCCTGGAGATGGTACCAGCCTCATCTGCCTTGCCAGGACCTGTGTCTGCCATGGAGCTGAGCCAGCCCCTGCCCTCCAGCCAGGTAAGGTCTTCTGGGGCATGCATGCTTTCCTCTTAGACTTGTGCTGCTGGATGGTGAATAAGGAAGGAGCAGAGATGACCTGTGGGTGGATGATAGTTAGATTCAGAGGTGGTCTGGGGGTTTCTGTGGGGCAGTGTTCTCTCCTGAGTTCAGAGTGGGTCAGACAGGGCCAGGAGGTACCCAAGTGGGAAGGCAGGTATTAGAGCCTGGCAGAGCATGCTTCTGTGTATAATGCTTTGATGGTTTTCCAGGTGCAGTGGCCCAATGACCAAGCCTCCTGTGAGGCTTTCTGGGGAGCCAGAATGCTTCTTGAGTTTTCCAAGAGCAGCCTGAGCCGAACTGGCCCTGCAGAACCAAGTCAGCCACACGGGATGAGCAAGTGTGGCTTGTGCAACTATTCGACAGAAGTTACAGAGCTTTACCCTAAGTAGAAATGGAGGTTCCCAGAGTTCCTCAGAGGTTCTACTGAGAAGCAGCAGTGGCTTCTTTTGCTGCTACCTGGTTTGAATAGTTTGGTTGATAACTCCTTGTTGTTGGAGGAAGTATTTGGGAAATGTTCGAGGGATCACATGTTTGAGGGGAGTCTGTTCCACAGTGATAGGTGAGAACTGAAGCCCTTGGCAAGGGCTGTGCAGAAAGGCTGTCTAGGTAGAGGGAAGAATCTTCCACAGGGCCACCCTCTTCCTCTGGGTAACTTTCTGAGTAGTTGTGGGGAGCGAGCCAACATTCCTGTGTTCATAGGAGATACCTCCTTTGAGTGCTGAGCAGCAAACCTGGCTGGAGGTGGCCTGATATGGTGGGCCAGAGTGGATTTCCTTGCTGGGTGCTAACTCACTATGCCTGTGAAACAAATGTTTTAATAAACTAAATTCAAGTTTAACATTTTGAACTCCCCTTTTTATGCTAAACTGTGTATCCTGACATCTGTTCATATCAATACATAGGAATTAACATTAGCTTTTCAGTTCTGGACCAGTGTTCATGTTGCGGTGGTGTTACTCGATGTCTCTGTGTTCTATTGAATGATGTTGACTGTTTCCAAGTCTATTATTTATTTATTTATTATTTATTTATTTTTGGTCTTTTTGAGACAGGGTCTCCCTGTAGCCCCAGCTGTCCTGGAGCTCACTGTGTAGACCAGGCTGGCCTTGAACTCACAGAGATTAGTCTGCCTCTGCCTCCCGAGTGCTGGGATTAAAGGCGTGTGCCACCACTCCCAGCCCAAGTCTGTTTTATAAGCAGCATTTTGCTGGAATCCCTGTCCGGTGCCCTTTGCCTTTTAGTTGGTTCATTATAAATTCCTGGAAGCTGAATTTCTTGGTGAGTTGTTGAAGTCTAAGTGGTTTGCCATGGATTCTGGGTGTTTGATGACCCCTCTGCTCACCTACCCAGGTGTCTGTTGCAGAATGGAAGCTGTGTATGATCTGGGACATCCTCAGGTTTGAACCTGAACTTCAACTACCAGTCCTATGCTCAGAAGCTCCCAAGTTTGTGGGAGACACAGGCACATAGGCTCTCCTCATAGGATATGGGAACAAGAATAAGGAGTTGGGATACTTGAGGGTATGGGTTTAAGAGCAGGAAAATCTTAACCCAAGTTGGAGAATGGCTGAATTAGAAAATGGCATTGTAGAGAAGAGGGGGAGAAGTGCAGCAGAGGGAACAGGGGCTTAGGAATTATGTCTAAAGGCCATGACAGTGCTCAGTTAGGGCCCTCATAATCCTTAATCCTGGAAGAGGAGGCAGGCACTGACACTGGCTTTTCGGGAGCCCCATGCCAGAGGATGTGTTGCCTGCAATACTTGTCTCTTGGCCACAGTACTGGTTTCGTAGGTCCCTTCACCAGACTGGCTCCACTAGAATCAGTGACTACTGTGCCTTGAGTTGCTACAGGAGGGCCACTGGTTTCTCAGGACACCCATGCTGAGACATGGGCTTACCCCATTCATCATCCCTTAACCTTTGGTGTGTTAAAGGCTGGCCTGTTTCCCAGTGTCCTAGTTACTTTTCTTGTTGCTATGTTAAATGCCCTGACAAAAGCAACTTAAAGAAGAAGGGGCTTATTTTGGCTCACAGTTCGGGGGTAGGGTCCATAATGATGAGGAAGTCCTCTTGACAGGAGCTCAAGGCAGCTTGCTACATTGCATGTGCTGTCAGGAGGTGGAAGATGCTGAATGCTTGTGCTCAACTACCTTTCTTTTTTATAGACTGTGGGACTTAAGCTCAGAGAATGGCACTGCCCACTTATAGTGTGAGTCTTCACACCTCAGTTAACCAAATCAACATAACTCCTCATAAACCTGCCCAGAAGCTAGGTCATCCTTCAAAAGTGTGCCTGCAGGCTCATTTCCTAGATGATTCTAGATCCCCTTGAAGTTGATAATAACGCTAACTACTTAAACTCCACCCTTTGTCATCTGATACCCAAACACACATCACTTTCTAAGCCATGACTTTGTCCATATAGAGTCATGACCATCTTAAAAATATATTCAGTCAAACTTTATAAGTCCTCATGGTTAATAACAATTCTGGTACCTCTTAAAAGTCCAAAGTCTGGGTCTCCTCTGAGACCCAAAGTGATTTCTTAACTGTCAGCTTCTATAAAACAACAAAGTTAACATACTTCCAATATATAATGACATAGAGTAAACATTCCTATTTCAGAAGGGAAAAAATCAGGGCATAGCAAGAATAATCAGACCAAAGGAAGACCAAATCCATCAGGGAAAACACAAGATTCTACAGTTCCATGTTCAGCATTTAGGACTCATAATGTAGTTGTTTGGGCTTCAAAGGGCTTAGGTAGCTCTACTTCTCCAGCTCTGCAACTTGTAGCACAAACAGCCTCTCCCTTAGGCTGGCTCTACTTTATGTCTGCAGCTTTCCTCAGTGGCATCTCCTGGGGACATCATTGCAACATAGGCTTCACCTTCACTATTTCATACAGTGGCTTCTCAGGGCCTCCTTGCAGGGACTCCAACCCTGCCACACATTGCCTCACATCATCTGCTCTCCAAAACCGGGGAGCAGGATGCCACAACCCCCTCAACCTTGCACGTTTCATGCCTGCAAAACAAGTACCATGTTGATGATGCTTCCAAGTTCAGCTATCAGTTTTAGATGTAGCCTGGACCCCCTTGGAGCACAGCTATATCAGCTTTTGTGTTCTGACCCAGGAGAAACACTTCCCTAGGCTGTTGCCTTAGAGGAGCAGGGAATCCCCCCTTTAGTTTAGGCTTTCTTCAAATTAATTTGGATTTTCACACCATCAGGACCCCTTTCCTATCACACCAGTATAGCACAGGAGGTGATGACCTTTTCAATAGCTAAAGCTGTTTTCTTAGCACCAGCCTGATGCTTATCTGTCTGTATATTTCCTCTACCAAACAAATTAGTCCATTTTATAATTAAAATTCACTCAAGTTCCTAGGGAACAGACAGAATGAGACCAGAGAGTCTCCCATTTACCATCTTACTCCTTCACATAGTTGAGCATGTGATTAAAATCAGATGCGCTAAGAAAGGGATATGAGCAGTAGAAAAGTGATTGTATGACCTAATCTGTCAATCTAAACAACCACTCTCACTATGCACTTTAGTAACTGAACTCCTCCTTCCCTTGACATTCCTAAAAGGAAGTCCCAAACAATAATTGGGGCCCTTGAGTGTCCTCTCTCACGTGTTCCACTACTTCCTTGCTGCATATTCTGATTTTTATTGCTTTGCCTTAAATAAAGTTTTCTTATTCTTGCAATTCCATGTGAGCTTTTATTTCAGTTCCTTGAATAAGAGGCCAAGAACCTGGAAACACTCCACCCTGACCCTGTCCACTGTTGATAATACTGCTCAATGTGCTACACAGATTTATGTGGATACAAACCTCTGACCCAGAAACTAATACCTGCCTTCTTGCTAGGAGATGAGAAAGCCCTATCCTAATCCTACTACTCCTGGACAGTCAGCTTTAAGAAACCAGAGACTTGAATTTGGTTCCCATTATCCCTGGGGTTTCCTCCTCTCCCTCCCTTTCCTATTAAATTGATCCTCTATTTAAAAAAATACTATTTTTATTCTCTGAGAATTTCATACAGTACGCTGTCATATTAACCCCCTAAATCCAGCTTTACCACCCTACTCAACCAACTTAATGTCCTATTTGTGTTGCTCAAATGTTATGGGGGGTGAGTTCATCCCTTAGAGTGTAGTCAACCTACCAGGAGTCATCCTTTTAAAAATTGACTCTTCCTGTCCTAGAAGCTATCAGTTGCCAACAGTATCCCAGCCAGGGGTGAGAGTTCATGCTCACCTCCCCACTCTATGCTGGGATTTTGTCAGACTTGAGCTTGCACAGATCTTGTGCATGCTATCTCAGCTGCTCCTGAGTTCATGAGCAGTTCAGGTGAGTACCTGTCCTGTTGTGTCTAGAAAACACTTGCATTGTAGCCATCCACTGCCTCTGGCTCTTACAATCTTTTTTAAAAATTATTTTTATTTTATGTATATGAGTGTATTGCTTGCATGCATGGAAGTGCATCCGTGTTGTGAAATGCCTCCAGAGGCCAGAAGAGGGTGTTGGATCCCTTGGAACTGGAGTTATGATTTTTAGCCACCCTGTGGGTGCTGGGAATTGAACCCTGTTCCTCTGCAAGAGCAGCCAGTGTTCTTAACTTCTTAGCCATCTCTCTAGCCTCCTTACAATCTTTCTTATCCCTCTTCCCCAACTATCGCAGAGCCTGGGGAGGTGGGGAGAGGCATGAAATAGATGCCCCATTTAGGGCTGAGCACTCTTCAGTTTCTTCTCTGCGTGTTGATCAGTTTCGGGTCTCTGTGTTAATTTCCATCTACCACAAAAGGAAGCTGCTCTGAGGAAGGTTGGGAAATGCACTAATCTATGGGTAAAGAAAGATGTCATTAGGAGTCAGTTTAATACTATGTTCATTTAGTAGATGCCCATTGTTGATGGACATGTAGGTTGTTTCCATTTCCTGGCTATTGTGAATAGAGCATCTGAACATGGATGAGCAAATGTGTCTGTAGTAGGCTATAGAGTCCTTTGGGTACATGTCTGAGAATAATATAGCTCTATTATATGGTAGATCATATTTCTAGGTTTTTGAGGAACCACCACAGTGATTTCCATAGTGATTGAATCCGTTTGCACTCCTACCAGTAGTTAATAAGCATTTCATTTTCCCTATATCCATGCCAGCAGTTCTTGACAAACATCATAGTATTAGATTCTCCTCTAAGGTGTATGACCTCTCTAGCCACAGGATTTTTTCTTTTGCTTAGATAATGGTGCCTGGTATGTGTTCCATCTTGTGGCTCTGACTTTAAATCCATTCAGAAAGTGATTTGTTACTCCTATAACATTCATGCAATGATTGCACCAATGAATATATCTTGTAAGGCTCGTTATGGCTTACAA